TGACTCTGCTGACCCATGGACATGGGAGTCTATTTTCTAGCGTCTTGTCCAATTTATTTCATCATTGTGTAGGTTTCATCACAAATGTCTGTCACCTTCTAGGTTAACTTGATTCTTAGGTTGTTTTTGAAGCCACTGTGAATGGAACTGTTTTCCTGATTTCTTTCTCAGATAGTTCATTGCTAATGGATTTTAAAAGGTACATTATTGATTTCTCAACATTGATTTCTTGTATCCTGCCTGTATTGTTTTTAGACACCTTCCCCATGTTACTCGATACTATTGTGTGATTTTTGTCCTTTATTCTAACAATATGGTATATTGAAAGAGTTTATTTTTGCATATTGATTACTAACTTCATATCTTTACTTCTTAGAGCTGTATTCAGATTTTCTTTTCTCCCCCTTGACTCAGTCTCATTTTGTGTCATTCTAGAAAATTATCCATGCGCAAGGGCCTAAGTTCAATCCTCAGTAGTGCGCGTGCGCGCGCGCACACACACACACACACACACACACACACAATGAGGAGGCCAATGTGGCACAGCGAATGAATTGGCTAATTGGCAATATAGCTCAGAAAGGTAAATGGGCCAAGGGAGGGGTGGGAAGGACATGCGGGGCTTTGCAGGAAGTTAGCTTTACTCTGAATGAATGGAGAAGTCACTGGAGAGTTTTAAGTGTAGGAATTACCTGATCTAACTCATTTTTAACAGACTTATTCTGACTGCTGTGCAGAGAAATGACCACAGAGAACAAGGACAACAGTGACTGAGACAGTCAGGAGACACAGGAGATGAATGTGGATGTATTTTCAAGGTAAAGCCAACAGAATTTAAGCTAGATTGGGTATGGAATAGCAGGAAAAGAGAGGAGACATCAGTGTCTCCAAAGACTGGGGCCTAAACGGTTGAAAAAATAGAACTGCCAAGCCCAATTCTATCCAGAGGAAGGCTGAGAGGGAAGACCTGATCAGCTCTAGACGTGCTGAATGTGAGGTACTTGTCAAACATTTGCAGTAGCAATCTGGAATTCCAAGGAATTCTGATCTAGATATATAAATTTGGAGGTCATCGCACAAAGATCATCGTCTACATTGGTATTTAAATCAGGCAGGAAAAACAAACAAAAAAAGGGGGGGGGCTGGGGATTTAGCTCAGCGGCACAGCACCTGCCTGGCAAGCACAAGGTCGTGAGTTCGATTCCCAGTATCAGAAAAAAAAAAAAAAAAAAAAAACTAAATCAGGCAGGAAGTCGTGAAACAAAATAAAATCACCTAGGGACAGATAAAAGAAAAGAGCCAGGGTTTGAGTTACGGACCCTACGCTGTAAACCAGGGAGCAAGTGACCAGTAGGGCAGCAGAGAGAGGCCTGAGGAACAGAAGGATTCCGAGTCCTCTGAACTTACATTTACACGTAGCGTGCAACTAAATTCTAATTCAGTGGGGTAGGTCCGTCCTGCGTATTCCTAGCCCTGCAATGGGCTGTCGTCTTCTTTGTGCTTGCTCCCCATCAGTTTATAGAAGTTCCCCCAAAGCCTCTCGGAAGCAGGACTGGTGGAAAGGGATTGGATTATAGAGGTTACAGCTGACTTGCTGTTAGGAGTCGAGGTCTGGCCGGAAGAGGGGGCCCCTGGGGGCTTGACCCGGAAAGGTAACCTCCCTCCCTGGCTTCTCCCTTTCCTCTGCTTTCTGGTTACCATGACATGAGCAGCTTTCCCCGGCTGCTCCCTTCTGGATGCCGTCCTGCCTCAGAGCCAGCAGACTATGGCCTGAAAACTCGCGCCAGAACAAACCCCTCCTCCCTTAGTGTCCATATCTGTTAGTGTCAGATATTGAGGCCCAGCGATGAGAAAGTGACTGAGACAGTCAGCTCTGTCCCTGGCGTGCTACGGACCACTGTGGTGACGACAGTCCCGTCCTCAACAGCATCAACCACCAAGAAGCTATCAGGAAAGAGAGCAAGCTCTTAGGGACTCAATACTCACCTGGGCTGTGGGGTCCCAGAGGTCGGGGAGGTCGTCTGGGCCCCAGGAGCAACTGATACAGCCTGAGTGGGTGCATGCTGTCTTGTTTTAGGCAGGATAAGGCAGGAAGTGGCCTGGATACCTCCCTAACACCGTCATTAAACTCAGTTTCTGCTCTACCACTCTCCCGGTTCCCCTTCAACTAACCACTTCTCCACCTCCCTTGTCATTTCCTGTCACTCAACCTCCAGCCTAGTGCCCCAGCATCCTTCTCCAAAATGGGTGACGAGGGGCTGGGGATTTGGCTCAGCTGCACAGCGGTAGCCTGGCAAGCACGAGGTCGTGAGTTCGATTGCCGGTACCGCAAAAAAAAAAAAAAAATGGGTGAGGACAGCAGAAATGGTGAATTCAGTTCTTGCCACCCAGGTCTAGAGAGCCCTTCCCAGTCCTCGTCGTGACCCAGGAAGTTTGTATCTGTAATCCCATGAAAAGGTACTGGAATTCTAGCGAGTTAATTCCAACCTGCCACTTCCAGTGCAACCCATGG